CGGGAAATTGCAACACACCAATAACAGCAAACTTTAACTCCCTTCAAAATCCTACTTAAGAAGCTCCCTCTGGCCTGGCTGGACGCAGTCAACACTAGCCCTGGCGTCGTCAGTGGCCACTGGCACCTGAGACAGCAATTGGGACTTCTTCACACAATAAATCACTCCTTCTGGTGCCTTCTGCTTTTCACTTCCAAACTGGGACTTGGCCTGATAATGGTAGTGATCCGAATATAAAAACTAATTAGACACCTACAACTTGTTGTTTTCCGTGAAATACCGAAAAAATTTCCTCAATGATGCAGATGTTTTAAGCGTAGGAGGGCAGTTTGGTCTTGTCAGCCACTGCGCTTCATCCTGTAACCAATCCTTCGGGTTCCGTCATGTCACTGGGCCGAAGATTGTGAGGGAATAAAGAGTGCGGTAGATGCAGTGCAAGCGAGCTGCGTTTAGCGAATTTGGATGCCATAGTGTCTCAATTTTATGTCGACTCTATATCGAATAGTACCCACGAGTTGGACACAGCCGTGGTTTGACCTAATTTGGACTCCAGATTGCATATTGGAACACATAATAGCTTCTATTCCAAAAAGCAACGGCATGTCGCCAAAAAAACATGGCACTAAAGTAAACTGAAATTGGCTAAAAGTCAACTAGAGTAACAACTAACATATATAAAAATTAAACCCAATCTAAGGCCATAATTCGGCATGAATTACTAGAATGTCCCAGGGGCGGGGGAGTCATTGTTTTTATGTGGATGAACAGCGCTGTAAGAGCGGACGTCAATATTGTAAAAACATATTATGCCTACTACAACGACATATGTAGACAGTAATAGTATAAATAAGCGGCATTGAAGAGAGGGATGGTAATAAGTCTAGTACCTTTCTAAGTAGTCATAAATTGCATTATGACCGAACAGCTTTGCCTCGGACTGCGGACTGTGACCCCAGCGATCCTTCGGCTCCGGGTTGACACGTGCCACCTCCAGGAAGAAACGAACACTCTCAAAGGCTCCCACACTGGCTGCGACATGCAGACCGGTGCGACCATCGTAGTCGGCCATATTCAAGTCGTAACCAGCCAACATGCATCTGGGCAAACAAAAATTAACCACGTTCAGATATATTTCAATTTGAGGCCTCGGACCCACATGGACCTGTTAAGGGAAACATCATTTATCCACCAAGTACGTTTTGAAAGCTCAACAAATGTAGAAAATGTGTAATTGGGAATACTAACCTCGTTAAGCTGGAACTGTTGACTCATCAGACGAGTCTAAACACCCAATTGGACAGTACTGCCTTTTCTATCGTCTAGTTGTGAAAGACCTGCCTCCGTTCGTTAGCTGTAATAACTGATCTATTGTGTCGAGAAGTTTTCGCTTTATACAACTGGAAAACAGCCCGTCCATAGATTAACTAGTAGGTGTTTCGACTATGTGCTTGCTAATTTCACTCATTAAAGGTAATAGTTTTATAAGGACTATTAAATTTGTCATTGGGTTGCCACATGAGTGGAAATTCATACGAATTAATAAGGGTGGGAGGGTAATAAAATGGGTACCTCCGGAGAGCGTTTACATCATTATTGTTAGCCGCAAAAAGAAGATTGACCACGGCATGAGTTTTGTCCTCCAGATTCTGTTTTCGCGGGTCCACCTTGCTTCTGTGATGCAGC